CAGACAAGGAGGAGCTGTCCTTTGGGAAAAGAAAATTAAAAAAAAAAAAAGGGATTGTTAATTTAAATTTTGCTTTCTCATCCTCTTTCTTTGCCCTTTTAACTGTTTTCATTTAAGGAAACAACCCTTATGTGGTATGAAAATTTGGTAGCTTAAGCGTCATTAACTGGAAGACACGTTACTGTCCTGGTCACCAAGGCATCTGTCCCTCTCCTCCTGTGGATGAAGAGGAAAATTCTGAAGAAAAACTCAAAGCTTGGGTTTATTGAATGGAAGGTCAACACCCTTGAGATGCTGTGGAGGAGAAGTGTGATAACCTTCCTGAATGCCAGACAGAAGGAGGGTGTACTAAAATGGAGAGCTTGTCTCCCCAGCTCCAGCCTCAGCCTGCGCAGGTGATGTTGGGGCAATGCATGGCTTGTCCCAAGCTCCCTCCTGGGAGCTCTCTCAGTCAGGTTGTGTGGCTTGAGCGCAGCGTTAAAGCCGCTTAGAGGATGGAAATACCCTTGGCTAGTGTTCATTCACAAGTGTTCAAAGCAATCTATATGTGGAGTTGCTTATGCTATGTGGTTAAGAGTCTTTTGTAGACCAAGAACCACATATTCAAGGAGAAAGCTGTATGCCTCCTTCAGAGTGCGAATGAGTAGCACACAGTTACACAAAGGACCGAAAGGTCATTTGCCCTCCTGTGTGTGAGGAGCCATTAGTGAGCTCATTACTGCTGTCTGCAAATGATAGCCAAAGCACAGCACTTGGCTCTAGGCTACCTGGAGACTGGTTAGGCAAGTACTTGCAGCTCTTTGAAGATCGGACCTTTGTTTTTGGTGTTTGCCATGCAAATGTATGGCCATTTTCCCTTTTGTTAGTTCTTAACTGATTCTGTCTAGAAATCAAAGAATGTGAGATAACCTGACCAAAGAAATAGTGTTTATTCTTTTAAAGTCATTTTGACTTGTATCAGGCTAAAGAATTACACTAGCAAAACATTTTCGTTCAATATGGATTTAATTTTGTTCAAATTCTTCACATTGGTGATTTTCTTCTCTCTTAATCCTTCAAATCATGTGTTCTTTATAAGCAACTGTCTGCCTCCTCGTGTTTGTTTTTTAACCCTAACAGTGTTTCAGTATACCAACAATGAGACATGAATTAGTGTGCAATTTATTTCAGTGAAGGAGTTTTGTAAGATATTTTTGTTTTCTGTTTCCTTGAGTGTTTACTTATGCTCAGGAAGCTCCCCATCATTTTGACTGAGGGAGATGTTACTTCTGCTTATTGCTGCTCTGTAACATCTCCAGGGTTGTGGGTTGCTTTTTTTTCTTTTTTAAACTTCCCTTGGCAGTGCAACTGCTTTAAGCAGCTTTGAGGCTATTTCTTCTTCTCCTTCCCATTCCTGCTCCTGTTCAGCCTGAGCTAAGCACTGGATGCAGACGGGTGCCAAGTTCCCCATGGTGCCTGGGGAAGGTGGGCTGCAGACCATGTGTATGTGTCTGACGGGTGGGCAATGGCAGCTTTGGGCAGTTGCAAATGGCAGTTTCGGGTAGTTTTTGGGTTGGGGAATGGCAGCTTTTTGGGCAGTTTCAGGTTGTGTTAAAACCCAAGGAGGGCTTTTTCCATCTCTTGTGCAGCTTTCTCTGAAGAAATAGATGGAAGCTACTTGTGCCTTTGCCAGCATAAATTGTTTCTCTGAGCACATTTAGCTGAGTAAATAGCAAAATAGTATTTTGGTTCATGAACTTCTTGAACTCTATTTCTGTGTTTTCTATAATGTTAAAACAAAGCAAAAGTGGCTGGGCAGATACTGGGCTTCTGTGTGTGTGAAGGTTTATAGGATTCGTGCATGTCAGTAAAAAGTTAGTCTGCCTTTTTAATAGCTTGATTTAAAACAGACCCAGACCGTTTTACTCTATAGGAGGTAACTGCATTGCCCTGTAATTTTGGACAATTCTGTTCAAGTCAAATTTCCTGTTCCATGCAGGCTGTTACAATTATGAAAATGGCTGGTAACGGGAATGCATGGGGACTGGTTAGAGGTATGTACAAGAGAGATCATGGATCAGTTAAAAGGGAGGTAGTTTTTAACTGTTCCCTTATAAACCCGCCCAGACAGCTGCTCCAGGCTGCCTGCTCTGGTGACAGTGTCTGCTAATGAAGGTGCCCTGTATCTCGGGCAGTCTCGGTGCTAATGCCAGCCTCCCGACCCCCGGCAGTACTGCTGTCGAGCTAAGGGTAGCTTCCTGCTGAAACTCACAAACTTCCTGGATGAGGATAAATGACCACCTTGCTGTGCGAAAATAACCAGGGCCCACAAAAGTTATCATGGATAGGGCTGATTTCTGCTAGTCCAAGGGAGCTGATGTCTGCAGCTCCCCTTTTGGTCCTGATAGCCGTGTCATTCAGGACAAGGCGTAACAAAAGGACATTTCTAAAACAGGAGTCTAGCTGTATTGCAGCATGGAAAATCTTTCAAATGTAAAAGCGGTGATAGCTTGCTGAACTTCACCTCACCTTCACTGGGGAATAGAAGGAAGCATCTGTAAACAACGAATGACCGAGAGGAGAACAGAGTAGCATACCTGCAAGTCTCTGCATCTTTTATTAAAGCATGACAAGCTTGTAAACTGACAAAAAAAAAACAACAAACTGTCATGTAAGAGTATGACTTAATATATGGAGCATACTGCTGTAGGATGTTTAGAGGCTAAAATTGCATAAAACCGTGAGAAAATAAAGGGATATTTTACAAATATAGCTAAATGATAATAGCTCTGCCGAGTTTACATTAAGCCTTCTGCTTCAAGGCTTAAGGCAATCCACACCTCTGAGAGATTATGGGGTTTCTTGCACCTTTCTCTAAAGCATCTGCCATTAGCCTTTGTAGGGGACAGGATATTGGATTAAAAAAGAAGTCTCTCTCATCTGCTATGCCAGTTTGTGTGTTCACATAGTCACTGGCAATGGCGGCTTCTGGAAAATGATGAAATTCTCTTGTTAGAGAAACCCAAGGCTTAGCATCTGCATTCGAAGTTCTAAGAGGAAATCAGTCATTATCCTCAATATTTTTTTCTCCTTTAGAGAAATTGCTAAGTTACTTGCTTGAATCATGCTCAGACTCTGCTGTCTGGCTGATCAAGAGGTGGCTTTGAGTATCCCAAACCTTCAGCATGTCCTGCACAGGCATGCCGCTGCCAACAGTGTGATGCCACCTCACTGGGCAAATGGGTGCTCAGAGTTGCTTTCCCTGTGCCGTAATATTTGAAATAAATGTATGTCTGTAAGGGGTAGATGTTAATTCTTCAGGGAAAAATGATAGTGTATTTCAGAAGGAATGTGTATGTTTTTTGCTATCCCTTTAACATTTATGGAGATCTCGGTATTAGGCTTTTAAGCTGCTTTGCTGAAACTCGTTTGACAAGGACTCGCACAGATGGTGCTTTACTTTCTGTCTGAAATGTGACGCTTTTTAATTTCCCTTGGGTCATCTCGGTGAATCTGGCTAGAATTTCTTCAATGGATATTTGTCTCCCGCTTCTCTGATTTGCTCACCTGAAATAAAATTCAGTCTGATAGGAGCAGTAGGTGGGTGCCTTCCTCTGTAGGCAGAGCTGGCATCTTTGATCACCTGTTTCAGCCATGGTATATTTGGTGATTACTGTACCATGAATATATCTGGGCTAATATATGGAAGTAAAAAATACTGAAATCTCCTTCTGTTCAAAACAGATTTTTGTGTGTGTGCGCATTGGCAGTATATACCAGGTGAAAAGCTAGTAGAAGATGACTACTTGAATATGTAATGCATGACTGAACCAGGAGTTTTACAAGATGCTGATCTGTCCTTGACCTGGCTGAATGTTTCGTGTTACTGGTGACTGTGGGAACCTGCTGTATGGACACTGGCATCCCAAAAGATGCTGTGGCACTTGAAGGCTCCGTATACATCTCGGGTTGGACTGTGTGGAACATGCAGGAGTAGCAATGTGAAGACAGCGTTCATTGATCTCACTGACTTTGGTCTGCATGCCTGGCAAATTGTAACAAGTAGATACCTACTTAAATGTTACACTGCTTGCTTTAGAACATTTCTTAGTGGGAGTCCAGCTGCTTGTGTGTTGAGCACTGATGTTAGAGCCTGGTAGAGTTTCAGACAAAATGAAAACCCAAAGAAACAAGTAGTAGGAGATTTTTATTTTATTTTATTAAAAAAAAATAAAATGGAAGAAAAAGTCAGGTCTAAACAGATGCATGTTTTGCTGAAGAGGTTATACGTCCGACCTGCCTCTAAGTCCCTTTGTTGGCGCACTGCTAGGGATAAAGTCAGTGAGAGCAGCCAGCGGAGCTGTCGGGTGAGCACATGCTGACCTACTTCAGCCAGGATGACCTAGGTTAGCTTAACCTGGTGGCAGAGCAGCTCTGTGAGCCTGTCTCGCTTCCAGTTGAAGTGGGTTAGCAGGTTTGAGGGGGCAGTAATCTCCAGCAACGAGCAGCTGAGCATGGTGATAAGTGTCTCTGGTGTAGCTGGATCAGGAAGAGTAGAAAAGAACAGGCTGCTGGTACTAAATCTGTTTTCAGTGATGCAGTCATTGTAGAAGTGGGTCTGACCCAGGTATGCAAAGTGCATGCACACAAAAGCTTCTGGTAATCTCATGATTGTCTTGTTGCAAGCCAGAGTCTTGCTTTAACAGCAGACTTGAGTTAACACATTGGTGTTCCCTTTTTAAAAGGTTTTATAAACCCTTTCAGGGTTTATATGAAGTTCTACCAAAGTAACCTATGCATCTCAAAACACCGTTTGGGTGTATGCTGCACATTACTTTCAAGAACCCTGCATTAGCGACTTGATAACATTTAAGGGTCTAATCCCAGGAGGGGAAGGTGTAGAAGAAAGTGGCTTTGTTTTGTATCAGAAAAACATGGTAAATAGTTGTAACTATTTAAAATGGAAGCTATTTATGGAAAATGTTGGGTTTACTAACAGAAGGTCTTTCTGGCTATCCTAGGCTTTTGGGCAGGCTCATACCAACCACAAGAAGGTAGCAGCAGATGGAGAGAGCAGAGAAGAAACCTTGATTCAGGAGTCAGCTACCAAGGAAGAGTACTACATGAAGAAGGTTATGGAGCTGCAGACAGAACTGAAGCAGCTCAGAAATGTCCTTGCCAACACCCAGTCTGAAAACGAACGCCTTAATTCTGTTGCACAGGAACTGAAAGAGGTAAGCAAAAGTGAACAATGCACATCACAACAGGTATTGTGGTTATGTTTTTTGTGCTATGTAACCACACTGAGAAATATTATTGAGCTGCTCAATGTCTGTTAATGCTGATAAATTTGGTTGTCTCTCATGTTAAATCCAGCTGAAGCTGTAATTCAGCAGTGTAGTAGTAAATCCAACTTTCCGATTCCATCCACTGAACCAGCCTGTCATGGCCACAGTGGTTCTGAATCAGTACAAATTCCCTCTTCCTTGTTCAAATACCTCCTAGTTCTGCAGAAAGTACCATGTTGTGCTCTAGGTCACTAGACAGAAACGTGACTGCATGTCCAGGCCAGAGCAGTACTGCGGGTGTTGCACACTGGTGCCCTCAGAGAACTACTGGCTTAAAATGCAGATGGGTCTGTTTAGGCCAAGCACAAAGAAGTTTAGAATGTACTTTTTCTGCTCTGCTCTCCATGCTCTCCATAGAGATATTATTGCTGCAAAATATTTGGGGCATAGCTTCTCCTTTTTATACATTGCCAGTTGCTTTTTCCACTACAATTTTTATAAGGATGTGGGAGCACAACAAAACACAGAACTGCACAGAAGGAGTAACAGTAACAGTGCCTTGTGTTTTTTCTCATGACAGTGATGGTTTTTACATTTTCATAGGTTGCTTAACTTACTATCTCAACGTACCTTCCACTTTTTTTTTCTTTAGTATTGAAAGTGCCTGTTTCTGATGAGAAATAATGACTGAGAAGTTGACCAAACAATATGATTACTTATGAAATCTGTAGCTCAGATTGTTTTAAGAGCTCAAACCCTTGCTTAAATGTAGACTTGAGTAAAAAGACTACAAAGACTGCAAACCACAGATGGATGTGGTAAACAATCCCCAGTTATTACTCATGAGGTTTCTTGCACCTTCCTTTGAAGCATTAAGTACTCGACTCTCTGGGCCCTGAGACAATCAACAAGCTGTCTCTGCCAGAAGAGGAGGTTATCTAAGAGCCCAGGTCTTAATCTCTGTGCATTTCACATGACCAAAACTGAAAATCACAAGTGTCTGAATTTACTTTAGGGGATTATAACAAATATGTGGATAATGTTTGGTAGTGGAATTCACGAGGAGATGAAAAGCTTTATGTTGACTCTTTCTGGAAAGTGTAGGTTACTTCTGTGGAGAAGTGAGGTTCAATAGTACCTCATTTTGGGGTGCAACAGAAGTAGATTGGGGATAGGTGGAGGGGGCACATGGGACTGTCACAGGTGATCAAAAAAGCCAGGCTAGTTCAGCTTTAATTTTGTGTGTCCTGGCTGAGAGATAATGGAGCTGGAATCAATCCATGTACTCTTGCTTAGGCAAGCAACCAGTTGCTGCAAGCACACACCACTCTAATCTTTATTTCCTAACTTAAAAGAGAAGCTCCCCACCCAAGAGGTAGCAGCATTATGTCGGTAACGGATTCCAAGCACTGCCCAAAGCGTGCTGATCGGCAGATTTCGATCCAGCTCGCTGAGTCACTGCAGTTGAATGTGATTTTCCTTCTAGATACCCTCATATTTCAGCTACTCAGCCATATTTGCTTGGAGCTGCATTTTCCTTTACCAGAACCTTTGGATGAGCTGGTTTTAGTGTTCTTTTGTGTGCTTTGTCCTCCCACCTCACCCACTCAGCCTTGTGCACAAACAAGCTTGCATAAGGTGGAAACTGTTATGTCCTTTCCCCTGGCACCCTTTGAGAGCTGAGCAGCATGTGAGGAGGGAAAGTAGCTGATGTCAGGTTTCTTGTGAAGATTTTTTTTAATTTTTTTTAAGCTTCTGGTGTTGTTTTTTAAAGCATTCTTCTGAAATGGGGAAGATGTATTTAGTTGCTTGAAAATAAAGTGGTGGTGATTGTGTTTGATTCTAAACTTTGAAACTGAACTCAACAACAAAAACAAACAAACAAAAACAAAAAAACAAGAATTCTATTTTTAAAATAAATCAAAACCTGATGTGATTAAATAATAAGCCTTGCTGTTATGGGGGTTTCTCTGCAGGTGACTTTGGCAGCCAGTGGTTGCATAATGCTTTGTGTCTTCTCAGTGTGTTCTTCCTTGTTTTCTCTTTTTGATCTGAGCTTTTTCTTCTGTTGACTGTAAATTGTGGTGTGGTGAAGAGGGAAGGAGACAGGAGAGAAACAGCATGAAAGTTTTAGTGTGAAAATGAAAACATGTGGGCCAATTGACCACATGTGTTTTTTGGATTCTTCCTCTTAGGATGCCATTTTTGTATTGCATTTTGCTTTGAATCACTTTTTAATCACCTATGTCAAATGACAAAGGCACAGTGTGTGAACAGAGATACCAGGATTCTCCTGGCCCACAGAAAAATTCAAGTCAACACGACTTTTCCTGAGAGACTTGGCTTTGCTGTAGTACAGTGCATCAGAAAGCGGCAGAGATTCAAATCGCTGCTGTTTCACCACTGTTGTTGAGGTAAGTGGAAACAGGAGGATGTGCAGAAGCCTTCTGTGATGATTTATAGATAAATAGCAAATGAGTCTGGAAATATTCTGTGAGAGAAATCAAGAACATTGTGGCTATTGTAAGCCAGTGAGCAAGACGAGCACTGTGGCTTTCTCCAGCCCCTACAGCCATGCTTAGACCAGATCTCGTGGTAGAAGTTTCATGTTGACATTGGTCCAAGGAAATTCTGTGCCTCCTCTGCTCTGAAAAATGCTTCCGTAGTCCAGAGGCAGAAAGTGTTGGGCTGAAGGTGGAATATGATCTACTGTTTTATACCACAGAGACATAGTGGAAATTCCTTCCTTGGGTTTTTCTGACTGCTGATGAAAGAAAAACTACAGCGGCTCTTCTCTACTATGTCACAGAGAGTGTTTATAGATGGGTCTGTCCTTTATAACTGTGTGTTCTGGAGGTTCTGTCTTACTGCCTGTCCAAAGGCCTGACTTGCAAGATGACTGGGGAAACAGGAAACTGTACTTCTATTGCAACTATTCTGGACTTAATCCAGGCAAGACGGGGGATGTGGAAAACATTTGATAATGTGTAATGTGTAATGCATCCTCTGTCTGTGAAGAGGTCTTCTGTCAAAGCTAAAAGGAAGTGGTGGTGGTGGTTTAGAAGTGCTGGGGGAGGGCAGAAAAGGCAGGAAACTAATGGGGCTGAATCTCAGCTTTACTTCTAGCAGATGTTTGCTAGTAAGGGCTGGTTGTGAAAGTTTCTATCTGCTCTTTCATAGCTAACTGGAAGGATACAGAATTTCATTGTTACGGGGGCTTTTTGTGAAAAAATCTCTTTAGACCTTCGTGGCACGGGCAAGACTGAAGGAACCAGGCAGCAGCTCTTCTCGAGCTGTTTCTGGACGTAGCAGCGGTTATGGAATGAAACCAGATGTTGACCTGGATCAGCTGGAAGTGCATTTAGGATGCTGTCAATCTTTTCAGGTCTTCTCAGGACACTTGCAGAAAAGTGAGTTGTTTCTGGAAGGAGATGTGGCATTCGTTATGGCTGCAGTTGCTGTAGCAGACACAAGCTGTTCTGACACTTTCTGTTGAATTATCTAACTTTGCCTGTTGAGACAGGTCGGCAGGGCGATTACAGATTATGAGTTTTACTGCTGTCATTAGCTAGCTCAGCAGCTCCTGTGTCTTGGAAAAGTCACTAGAAGGAGTAATTGCTCCTGAGTAATTGCTAATTATCATGTCTTTTGATCTTCTTTCATTTGTGCTGCATTTTAGTGGCACCAAAACAGATTTCATAGGTGACTGATTTGGTTGGTAAATCATGAGGTAGCCGTGCCCACATATAAAGAAGCTGAAAAATAAATGAGCAATGTTTTCCCAGGGAAGTAAAAGGTGATCTGATTATGTAAACTAAAGAAGGAGATATATTTTAATCTGTGTTTTTTAGTATTAATTGAGAATAAAAATAGCTAACACAATGAGCAGTGTAAATGTACTACATAGCATGTTTTACAAAACACAACGTAGGTATGATTTTATTCTTTCAAGCCTATAAAATGGAAGCTATTTTTCTGAAGTTGGTTTTAAAGACACTTTGATTGTCTTTCATTGTTGTGCAATATCTGTCATTGTTCCTGAATGTGCTTTACCCATCAGTTTGACATGTGTTTTCTTGTTGACCTGTGCAGTGCAGTTCTCTGGCTGTGCTACGCACAGGGGACCATCTCCCTCTTTTTTCTTCCGATTGCTAGTGACAATTCTCTCATGCTTTCTTTGTTCCTTATAGGAGTTGTGGAGAGAATCCCAAAGCTCAGTCCAAAGAGGGGGGATATTTTTGCACGAGTACCTATTTTCAAAGATGGTGCTTCCTTCCTGGGAACAGAGCACTGGAGCGCAGAGAAGGATAATAGACTTCGTATTATTCTTAACCATAAAAAAAAATATATAAAATAGAATAGCCTGGAGCAATTAAGGCTCTGTCTTTCACTGAGGTGTGACACTGTTAGGGCAATGCTGATGAACTTGACTTTCTTCTCTGTGCCCTTTGTGGTCATGTGCTGGCTCCTTATGCTGTCCATGCGGCGCAGTGCAGCTTTCTCTCATTCTGGGCAGTGTGTGAAACCTGCCTGTTCTCGCTTCGTTCTGAGGCTGAGCAGTGTTTCCCATGGGATGCAGCTGGAGGGTGGCTTGCAGCCCCACAGCCTCCCAGACCAGCCAGAGGAGTCTGGTAGGCGTTCTCAGGACCATGTAGAACACCAACAAGCAATCATCTATCCTAGTTTTATTTTATTCTGAGGTGGGTGAAGGGTTAAACCCTTCCCTCCCCCCCAAAAAAAAGAAAAAAAAAAAGGAAACATAATACCCAAAACTTCATAGAGATCTGTCCATTTTATTCCTCCATCCTGTTCATTTGTCTCATGTGAGGGGTCAGTCATGTGTTTGTTTTTTCAGAGTCTCAAGTGACTCTAACAACCCTTATGCTCTGGTCGGATCTTTCTGATAACTTCCTCAATGAAGTTTACGGTTTATGCAGTTCACATGT